CATTTTAATGAAATGACTTAACAGTTGCGTGGTGGTAAGGCCGCTCGTTCATCAAATCAAGCGACAAGATTATAGGAGATTATAAGAGATTATCAAATTATACATTATGATTATAAAAGATGATTTATGATGTTGACTGCTAGTACTGTTACATGACATCAGGCTTTATTGGAGCTAGCTTTAGTTATATGTAAATAGACTTGTATAACTCATAACTTGAGTTCATACTTTATATCTAGATAACTTTACATGTTACATGGGAAAAGATTAGAAATCTAATTACGTTCATTACACATACATAACTTAATTAACAGCTTTAATTAGCATCTTTAATCAAATTTTTCAATTACTTACAAAAACACACACTGAAGCCAGTAGACTGCTTTAAGCAAGATATTTTCTGAAATCTAAACCTTGATTCTATAGAATAGAATGCAAACCATACCATAGTGTTTAGTGTACATGGCTAGGGGAAGCTACTATAGGAATATCGTTTACCAGCACTACAATACCTCGGATTTTCTACTTTCAATTTTTATATGGAATAATAGCATCAACAGAAGCCTTTAAAAATCCAACTGTGTCGACTTTATACAAAAATGTATTTTCATGTAAACTCTGTTGTAAAAAAAAATATAAAACCGTTTACATTAGAATAAAAAAAAATTCATTGAATTTTTGTGTCACCCTTAAAATCTGAGTCATCCGGTGCAAACCTCACCCCCACCCCTGCCTTGTAACCCCATATTAGTTATTAAGGTTTCTTTCACACATTTTTCTCCGAATTGAGGACGTTCTAAATATCCTAGGGGTAGGGGGGGGGGTCGCACCGGGCGACTCCAATTTTAAGGGTGACACCAAATTTTAAAAATCGTAACTAATGCCATAACCTGTAAAAATAATCAAATATGAGGGTAAAGAGGTGACACAAACAGAAAATGTAACAGTGTTGTAGGGATGGGGTGATACCCTGAGTTACCGCACCGGGTGATACCCGACCTAGTGACTGGGCACAGATGTCTATGATTTACTTGACACTCGGTCTAGGCTTTATATGAATATTTTTAAAAATCACAAATCACACCAGTACGTTGATTTGACCGGGATAAAAGTGAAACCTAAGACTAGAGGAGAATGTGAGGAATAGTGACTTAGTTTTCTGATGTAGACTCGAGACCTTCACCTTGATTTACATGCGGTTCCACTCAATGTCATACCAATATAATGTGAATGTAACGTCAGTTAGGCTGTTACTATGGCAACTTGCAATTTTATTCTAAAATTACGTTATGGACCATGAACCGAATAGATCCTAAGACCTGACAGATCTAGTAGACCACAAGGACCTATGAACTAAATTGACCACTAGACCTTTAAGAACGAGATAGTTTATTTGTACACCATGGACCGATGAAATCTCATCAACTCCTCGACCAAGTCGCCAACGACCACGACCGATTGACCTCAGATCACATGACCCCCATGGACCATACGGACAACAACACACGTGTCCACATTGCCACATCGGTCAGCCACGGCCAGGTCACCCCCCCCCCCCCACCACACACTCTCAGATAAATCATCTCTGTGTCCCAGCGACGTGGATTATCCCCCATCGCCGCCCCAGCCGGTCCCCGTACCCAGCATAATTTGAGACATCACGCGAGGCTTTACGGCTTTGTCCTGGAGATAACAGCGATCTGTGACATATGAGGACGTTAGGATCCCATTCGGTTTCAGGTGGGACTGTTATAGTTATCTGCACCTGACCCCTAGCTCGCTCAGGCGATGGAGACAATGATGTATCTACATGGGGGATTAAGGCTTGGATATGGGATAATAGAGGAGTGGTGACCAGCTAGATCAGTGGAGGCGATCAGTAGAGAAGTGACCATCAGATAAAACTGTAGAGGTGACCAACATAAAAATTACCATATCAATGGAGTTGACCAACATCGAAGTGACCATATCACTGGAGAGTTGACCAACTAAGAAGTGACCATCAGAAAATATCGGAGAATTTATGATTAACAGAGTCCATACAACAATAATCGAAAAATGACCAGCGAATCAGACCGGTAAAATGGTCAAAGAGAAGTGACCAACAGATAAAATAAAAGAAATGACCAAGAAGAAGTGAACATCAAATAATACTGGAGAAATGACCAAACAAAGGGATCTAACATATCGGAGAAATGACCTAGAAGAAATGACCAACAACAAATAGGGGACAGATGACCAAAAAAGTGAATAGAACAAATAATAGTGGAGAAGTGACGAAGAGAAGTGAACAACAGATAGCAGAAAAATAACCAGGAAAACGTTACCAACAGGTACAACTGGAGAATAGACCTCGAGAAGTGATAACAGACAGAGTTTCTTCCAGGCATCTCTACCGCCCCCCCTGAACGAGATGGATTTTATATAGTAAACATACACTTTTACTAGTGTCCGCCCCCCCCCCCCCAAAATGTTGACTCTTCCCCCCCCCCCCCCAAAAAAAAAAACCTCAAGTGCCCCCCCCCCCCTCCGGAGAAAAAGTCTGGAAGAAACACTGATAACAGACATTACTGAACAAGGAAGAAGCAAACGACAGAGATGTGATCCGCAGATTACCCTGACAACCAAAATGCTGAACTCATGAGATTCTTGGTTGGATTTGAGTCTACAAGATGACCAAACAACAAGACAAACGCTGTTGACAATTTTTTTTTATTTTAATCAAAAATTAGAACGACAACAACACTCCCACCTCGCACACACACGCAACAACGCACTAAGTATTTTAAAACCATAGACGATCACATGTACTGCCTCTTTAAAGAATAATTTCCAATGTGTATCCAATATGCAACATTTGTTTTGCATTCACGCAAACTGATTTACCCAAATTTCATGAACTACACGAATAGCATGTGGGTTCACAACAAGTTAAAAATAGAATGTTGACCCTTCTCAGATGGACACAACTCAACAGCATGTGTACGATAAAAAAGGCTTCAAGAATGGCCATTTACGAATATCAGTTCGACATGAAAATATTAATAGGCGTATCAGTAAGAAACTATCTACAGCCATGTAAAGACAGAACGATGTATAGAATATGTAAAGCCCTATAAATAAATAAAGATGTAGACAATATGTAAAGCCCTATAAATAAATAAAGATGTAGACAATATGTAAAGCCCTATAATTAATAAAGATGTAGACAATATGTAAAACCATAAAAATAAAGAACGATGTAGACAATATGTAAAGCCATATAAATAAAGAACGATGTAGACAATATGTAAAGCCATATAAATAAAGAAAGATGTAGACAATATGTAAAGCCATATAAATAAAGAAAGACGTAGACAATATGTAAAGCCATACAAATAAAGAACGATGTAGACAATATGTAACGCCATAAAATAAAAAAAGATGTAGACAATATGTAACGCCATTAAATAAAGAAAGATGGAGACAAATGTAAAGGCATATAAATAAAGAAAGATGTAGACAATATGTAAAGCCAAGTAAAGAAAACATGTATGCAATATGTAAACCAATGTAAATGATGAATGATGTATGCAATATAAAAAAGCCATATAAATAAAGAACGATGTAGGGCCTATACAATATGTAGAGCTATACAGAACGATATAGCCATATACAGTGTTTCTTCCAGACATTTTTCTCCGGGGGGGGGGGGGCACTTGAAATTTTCGGGGGGGGGGGGCGGTAGACTTTCTTCGGGGGGGGGGCGGACACTGTTAAAAGTATATATTTTCTATATAAATTATATAAATTTCATTTCGTTCGGGGGGGCGGTAAAAAAATTTCGGGGGGGCTTCGCCCCCCCGAAGAGATGCCTGGAAGAAACTCTGGCCATATAAATAAAGAACAATGTATACAATATGAAATGCCAAGTAAAAGAAGAAATATGTAAATAATATTTAAAGCTGTAAAGATATATAAAATATGACAGGCCATATAAGCAAAGCAAGACGTAAACAATGTGAATAAAAGCCATAGACATCTAGAAAGATGTACACAACACATAAAGCCATGTGAAAATCGTTCACGTGCCCACGTCCTAGCGGCCAACCAGCCTCGGGTCGCCCCGACTGTGATCACCACCACCCACATGAAAGCACTACCCTGGAGCAGTAAGAGACAGAGGCGACCGCTCCCCCACCCTCTCCATCGCCCTTCCCACACTTCTCCAATATTCATCACCGGATTAGCATCAACAGTAAATTCCTCGCTACGACGCTTAAACAAACGAAACAAAGTCAAGAATTTGTTTCTATTCTTCCTGCCGTCATCACATAGCGTTCCTCAGATTCCGCGTGTTCCCTATAATCTCGCCGTCACGATCAGCTTCAATGCGAGACTATTCTCTGAAATTAATGGCCGAGTTTTTTTCTAAGGGCGTGATCACAAGACATATAAGCCATTTTATACTGGTGCACATCTTTATGTGCATGTTGGAAGGTGTTGCTGCAGCAAACAGATGCTGTATGATGGATTATGCTATGTTTGATGTATTATGCTTTGAATGATGAATTACGCTATGTATGATGTGTTATACTGTGTATGATGTATTATGGTGTGTATGATGTATTATGTTGTCAATTTTGTATTATGCTATGTATGATGTATTATGGCGTGTATGATGTATTTTGCTTCAATAATGTATTATACTATGTATAATGTTTTATGCTGTCAACATTGTATTATGCTATGTATGATGTATTATGCTATGTATGATGTATTATGCTATGTATGATGTATGATCACTATCATGTATTTGAAGTGACTACAGCAACTAATGACGTTGATGTATGGTTTGCTACTTGCACTATCATAAATTAAAAAATTCGACAAAAACAAAATCCTGTTGTTTTTTTCCACTAAACATGGACTCTCGGAAAGATTATTCAATCAAAAATCTCTTGACAGTTACATCCTTGACACAAATCACCGTCTAGATATTGATCATGTGGACATTCACACTAGACATTGACAGACGTTGACACGCTAGAAATAGACACTGAAGACATTGACCCTCTAGACATCAGCACTCTAGACACTCTAAACTTTATTCTCTAGACATAGACACTAAACCCTCTAGACTGTAGACATTAATCCTCTAGACATTGACACTCTAGACATTGACACTCTAAACATAGACCCTCTAGACATTGACACTCTAAACATAGACCCTCTAGACATTGACCCACTAAACATAGACCCTCTAGACATTGACCCACTAAACATAGACACTCTAGACATTGACCCACTAATCATCGACACGCTAAACATTGACCCACTAAACATTGACCTACTAAACATTGACCTACTAAAAATAGACCCTTTAGACTGAGCGACGTGTCAGGTGACAGTAGTTAAAACAAATTGTATTTTGATTCTTTTCATCAGTGCATAGAATTCAAGCTTTCAATATGATGCCAACTGAACAAGGCATCACATTCCTAGATTTTTAAATGCAGAAATCTAATCAACGAACAATCATTTTTTTCTCTGTTCAATGTTTAGAAAATGACAATAACAAAAAGAAGACTATCTCTTAAATCTTGAAAAATATCGAATCTCTTTCATACTAATCTGTTAGCAAATCTCATCCCGTTACTTTGGAGGCTACGAGTAGTGACGTCCATTGGTCAATTCTGACCTCAGCTGTCAACTAGTTTGACAATCAACAGACCAGGGTGGGTGTGTGTGGTAAAGCTGAAATCTATGTTATCAGCCACATCTACGGTGGGCATCACATTTTAAAACCTTTAGCACATCATCAGATTGCTCAACAACAACTACAACGTACCATCACATTTCTGAATTATACATTAAGCAGATCATCAAATTTCTCAACAACATCTCTAGAAGATCAAATTTCTCAAAAACACCTCTAGAAGATCAAATTTCTCAACAAACACCTCGTGAAGATCAAATTTCCCAACAACACCTCTAGAAGATCAAATTTCTCAACAACACCTCTAGAAGATCAAATTTCTCAACAACACCTCTAGAAGATCAAATTTCTCAACAACACCTCTAGAAGATCAAATTTCTCAACAACGCCTCTAGAAGATCACATTTCCCAACAACACCTCTAGAAGATCAAATTTCTCAACAAACACCTCGTGAAGATCAAATTTCCCAACAACACCTCTAGAAGATCACATTTCCCAACAACACCTCTAGAAGATCAAATTTCTCAACAACACCTCTAGAAGATCAAATTTCTCAACAACACCTCTAGAAGATCAAATTTCTCAACAACACCTCAAGAAGATCAAATTTCTCAACAAACACCTTGTGAAGATCAAATTTCCCAACAACACCTCTAGAAGATCAAATTTCCCAACAACACCTCTAGAAGATCAAATTTCTCAACAACACCTCTAGAAGATCAAATTTCTCAACAACACCTCTAGAAGATCAAATTTCTCAACAACACCTCTAGAAGATCAAATTTCTCAACAAAAACCTCCAGTAGATCATCAAATGTTTCAATAAAATCTCAAGCTAAACATCAAATTTCTTAAGAACATCTCCAGCAGATCAAATTTCTCAACAACATCTCCTAAAGATCATCACCAACACCTCCAGTACATCATCAAATTTCTCACCAACACCTCCAGTACATCATCAAATTTCTCACCAACACCTCCAGTACATCATCCAATTTCTCACCAACACCTCCAGTACATCATCAAATTTCTCACCAATACCTCCAGTACATCATCACATTTTTTCAACCACTCCTACAACAGAACATCCGTTCACTAAACAACGCCTACATAGGACGCCAATGAGAGCCTTGCTACCCATAATGTTCTAGCATGACCTAAACTCCCATGACGTGGAGTTAACTTACAAACATATTGGATCAAGAATCTAATCAAGATAATCCCTAAGATAATTTGCTTGTCTTGTTTTGTAGCCGTATTTTGTCATATGACTCGGCCCAGCCAATGAAAAGAGAGATGTGTGGGTGAAAGATGGCCGTATAGAATGGACCAACCAACTGATCAAGTACTACTGGACCAGTCAATGTTGGAGCATGCGCAGTCATACGAAATAAACGCAAAAATATGTTTTTACTTAAAAAAAGAAATATAGCTTCCACTTGCACTTCAAATTCTGAAAATATTTTTTTTTTACCTTCTGCTTATTTTCAGATTAAATTCGAATAATTTTTTTTGTTTATTGTTAAAACTAAGCTATTTATATTTTTAATTAACGAGAATCTAAATGCTAATCCACGAGAGAAAATATTCAGAATGTATTGATTATCTGAGACGCATTGTTTCAGTTTCTCGTGCTGTGTGAACACGTGACACACTGATTAAAATTCTAATTAATTATTTCTCATTAATACTCTTTTTAAATGTTATGTTTATTTTGAATAATACACTTATTAGTAGTAAGATGTTTAATATAAATGAAACAAAACGCTTAACTAATTTTTCTTAGATGAACTGATCAAATATGAGGTTTTAGTAAGGTCAGGCATTGGAGACGATAAGATAGCACTGCGCCTTCGTTTCTATTAACAATAGTTTTAAAGTTTATACCACCTTCACAAAAAACAAATGAGACCGAACTCAAAAGTTTGAGAAATAATACGAAAATACCGCACTTTATTAATGAAATAGTTCGACCATTTGTTTGTTTTTAAGACAAAAGCCTACGGGTAAATACAGTTAGTTGGTTTCGGTTTTTCTAGTGAGAACAAAGTGGTTTTATTCTAATCATCTCTCAAAGAAAAAAAAACATTGGAATCACCAGCTTTTATTTCTATCAGTTTACTTTGATTTCCTGTCTGGCTTAATTAACGTGATTGTACTGTAACATTAATGAATTTTTTTTTCAAACAAAAATATGTTAGGTCCAACTGTGCTTAAATTTTTTGTATATACGTGTGTAAAGATATAACTATATATATATATATATATTTATATATATATATATATATATATATATATATATATATATATATATATATATATATATATTATATAGATATGTATATATATGTATGTATGTGTTACATGCACATGTACACGTACAAGTGTGTATATATATGTGTATGTGTATGTGCATGTGCATGTGTATGTGTATGTGTATGTGTATGTGTATGTGTATGTGTATGTGTATGTGTATGTGTATGTGTATGTGTATGTGTATGTGTATGTGTATGTGTATGTGTATGTGTATGTGTATGTGTATGTGTATGTGTATGTGTATGTGTATGTGTATGTGTATGTGTATGTGTATGTGTATGTGTATGTGTATGTGTATGTGTATGTGTATGTGTATGTGTATGTGTATGTGTATGTGTATGTGTATGTGTATGTGTATGTGTATGTGTATGTGTAAGTGTATGTGTATGTGTATGTGTATGTGTATGTGTATGTGTATGTGTATGTGCATGTGCATGTGCATGTGCATGTGTATGTGTATGTGCATGTGCATGTGCATGTGTATGTGTATGTGTAGGTGTAGGTGTAGGTGTACGGGTACGGGTACGGGTACTGGTATGGGTATGGGTGTGGGTATGGGTATGGGTATGTGTATATACTGTATATGTATAGCCCCCTACAAACCCCTCCTACAAACCCCTCCCTAACCTGTTTTACTTATATATATATATATATATATATATATATATATATATATATATATATATATGTGTGTGTGTTTGTATTTGTGTGTGTGGGGGGCAGACCTATATAACATATATCGTATATAAATGTATGTATATACCGAGTGAGAGAGAGAGCAATAGAGAGAAACATGGAGAGAGAGAGAGAGAGCGAGAAGAACTCTAGTGGGCCTACTTTGAAGCTGACACTTAATCCCGGACGAATTAATGTACCCAACTCTCTGAGCAGAATTCCATCCCCTTTCATCATTATCTCCCCTGGTTACTTTGTTCTCCATGTTAACAAATGGAGATAAGCCAAATTCCCGAGGGAGACCATGTTGAAAGCACAGATTACGCCTGCCTATTATCTCCCTTCGTCACTAGCCAACAAGTTCGTAGATCAAGGAAACCCGCTTATGTCAAATAATGACTTCTGACATCCAACGCGCTGACATTGAATTTGAAATAACGCTGACCAGCGCGCACGTGAATGACGGTCACATTGCGACACGGCGCCTCTTGCGTTTTCTCGCCAAGTTTTTTTTTAGCTGCTGAACTTGATTTTGAACTTTGTTTTACGGATGTTTATTTTGTAAACCAAAAAGGGGAAGGAAATCTTGTATTTAGAAATTACGAAACTAGCCTAGGTATTTTTATATTAAAAAATGTCTTCTAAAATAGAATACGCTTTAATTAAGTTATGAAAACTCACAGTTTTGTTTATCAATTTCTATTTTTATTGAAAGCTTTTCCTTAGATGGCTATGTCTGTATGTCTGTGCGTCTTTTTGTGATCAAATCTTTTAACTCAATTTCGACCCAACTCAAATGATGCGATTTTTTCCCCTCAACTTTCCAAATTCCTTTTCAAATGGCACCATAATACTATGTAGTCATTAAAAATAAGGTTAAAGAATGGATGACTCTCCACTCACCCATAGACAACATACTATCCACTCATCCGTGATGTTAGTTAGACAACATTATGGATAGATACCATACTATCCACTCATCCGTGATGTTAGTTAGACAACATTGGAGATACATACCAGACTCTTCACTAAACCATGACTCCTAAAACACTAGCCGAGCTCCATCCAGTCCACAGACCTCACACTACTATACTGGACGTGTATGTAATAAAACTGGCGGTATACATTCTTTCTGCCAACACAGTATCTGGTTCCTCAATTGTTTCTAACGTAGCATCCATCACACATGATAAAAATAGTACGAATAAGCTTATTTTATAACAACATCATGTTGGCCCCATGAGCCATACTGACGTGTACAGTTTTATACAGCAGGCTCACATTTTCTTCTGGCTTATGTCAACACATTCACATTTTAGGGTTTGGGTAAACGTTAGGTTTAAGTTGAAGGAGACTTGTAAATAAAATACTTTCACCATCAAATTTCCCGACCCATCTGCCCGACCCACGTTTTTTGTCATCAAATGTATGAAAATTTATTTTCTACTTTTTAGTCCACAAGAAAAACGTGGGGTTTTTTAAAGTTTTTTTTAAGTATTTTATTTTCTCCTTTTTAGTCCGTTGCTACACATGAAAAACGTGGTTTTTAAAAAAGTTTTTTATATAGTTTATTTTCTACTTTATCTAATGACCTGATTAAGTATGACTTGACTAAGTGTTTATAAATACACGGACTAAAAATCTTGAGCGACCAGGATTCGAACCTGGGTTGTCGCGGCCACAACGCGAAGTACTAACCACTATACGATCACGGCCAGCGCGCTCACATCGATTGGGGCCGAAGTAACTGTGTCAATAGGCCTCCAGTCTTGTCGGTATCTTTAGAAATCATGTTTTCAATTTTATGGTCCTTGGGGTGTAATTAAATTAAGCTAATTACGGTCTCTAATTGCTAATTTTTATGATTGCATCTGAAATTGTTATGCGAAAGTAGCCTACATGCCAAATTTCAGATCTATAGAGCAATCAGAAGTGGGCTAGTTTTCGATGTCAATTTTAACAACAAACACACGCGAAGCTGAGTTAATAAAAACGTGTTAAAAATGCTGTGAACACATATCGGTCTACGACTAAACCTCAGGGAAGGGGTTCATATTTCTTTCTTATAAGGGGTCGCCGTGGTCGAGTCGGTAAAGCTCATGTTTGCATAACCGAAAAGTCTCGAGTTCGAACCCTCGGGCAGATGAGGCTCGTTAGCTCGGGACAGCCACTCTTCTAGGAGAGACAACTCCAATATCAAACAACTGCTGCCTTGTAGTTTGTTCTTGGTTGGACAAAAGGCTATGGAAGCAAATCCAAAAAGAAAAGCAGGCTGAAATTTGAGTCAAACCAGTTGACACGTATCCTTGGTTGTGTTGGATGGTGTATACCTTCCAACACTAAAATTAAGAACGAAGAAGATGATACATCTTATATACCCTTTCATAAACTGGTACAAACCGGGCTATTACAACTCACAGCACCAGAACTGAACAAGGACGAACAGGTTTGAGTACCAAATACAAACAACATTCACCCCCATTCATCCCCCTTCATCCGTTCTCTACAGAAACACATACTTCAGACATATCTAATTGGCAAGTTTCTAATAGTTTTGTACACTATTCCATAAACACTAACTTCAGCTATATCTCACAGCCTCACTGCTACGTTTCAAATAGTTTTGAAGAATATTCTATCCACTGAGCTATGCCCTATTTCTAAATAGCATGACGTTTTTCTAAGACGTTCACAATCGATCATGATAAAAACATTTTCAAACGATGATCTAATTATTTTAATTAACTCAACAAAGTTAATATTTACTTCTAAAGGTCAACACTACAAGTATCACCTAGAATATCGCCCATGAACATAAAACTAAACCCTGGAACTACATTCTAGAGTCTAACAACTCCGTGAGCCTTTTGTAGTTACACATTTTAAAATGAACCCGCGCCCTAATCAAATCAACTGCTGATAAACATGACTTTTATGGTTTGGTAGATCCCCGAACGGCTAACGTCATTCATATTTCATCAAAAATAAGAAACAAGGAAACCGAATTCGTACAGAATATTTCATGTTTTAACTTTCAGGGCTTCATGAGCAAATAAGAATCTCTTTTAGTCTTAGCATTTAACAATGCTGAAGTTCAGCTGTAACATAAAATATGAACTTTATAATAAACATCGGCAAAATGTAAATAATATTCTTAATCGAGAAATTCTATATGTTCAACAAATTGCATTCGTTATTGTGTTTTAAATTTCAAATTTAAAAAAAAAAAGAAAACATTTCACAAGACATAGTTGTAAAAAATCGATGTTGGAAATTAAAGAACAAAAAAAAAATGTTTTTAGCTAGTTATTTTATTTTCCACACATTTTCTATTTCCTTTATTTTCAAACAGGGCTGACCGACCTGATCAGGGAAGTCAGGTAAAGCCGGACGGCATTGACCTTGGAAATCTAGGGGACTACGTTTTTAGATCACTAAAAAAGGGGAGAATACCGATACTTGTTGGTCGACTAAAAGTAGACTGATTGTCGACCTTGGTTAGACATCAAGTGTCAGCACATTTAAAAATTACAGGATTTCGAATAAATCAAAGACTTGCCAGATGTGTTTATTTTAAATCCACCTACACTAAACAGACAACGTACGAAAAATATAATGACGTAAAATTTCCAGACATGACAGCCATTTTAAAAACCTTGTAAATTGAGACTTGCCATAACAATTTCCTTACACAACCAGCTGGAAGGAGCATAAATAAAGTTACAAGGATTCCATATGATAATCAGAAACCCGGTGGGCTGATGGGTTGAGAAACCCAGTGGGCTGATGGGTTGGATTACATTCCTCTTAGCCTCGACAGTATATTGTTTCATCGGAACCTCGGCATCTATAAATAGATAATCAAGTAGGCAGACGTTAAACACGAAGGCATAAATTGCTAATTAATTTGTATTGAATTCGAGACAACTTTCGTTAACTTGGGAATATATTTTTAGTATAAGAGCTTCTTCTCGTTTAATGGAGGTTTAATCCAGATATAAAGAGAAAATATTATTGTTTTAATTTAAATTATGTCGTAAAGTAAGGCAAGTATCTGAGGCGAATTAAACATTGACGCCCTGGGGTCCATGGAAATTAACGCCACAAGGGTTCGTTATCTTTTCTGACAACTACAAGACATGAATGTCAACTATTTGGATAACTCTAACAGGTGGAGGTACCAGGTACAGCCAGAGTTAGTTGCCTCAGCCAGACATGACCACCACCTTCAGCAGGTCTCAGCCAGTGTAGCTACAGTTCTGTACAGAGTATCTGAAGGTCTGTATGGCGGCCAATGGCGATGGTCAACTGGGCGATGGCCAACTGGGCGCTTGTCAACTGAGCGATGGTCAACTGGGTGATGGTCAACTGGGTGATGGTCAACTGGGCGCTGGTCTACTGGGCGATGGTCAACTGGGTGATGGTCAACTGGGTGATGGTCAACTGGGTGATGGTCAACTGGGCGATGGTCAACTGGGTGATGGTCAACTGGGCGCTGGTCAACTGGGTGATGGTCAACTGGGCGATGGTCAACTGGGCGATGGTCAACTGGGCGATAGCCAACTGGGTGATGGTCAACTGGGTGATGGTCAACTGGGTGATGGTCAAGTGGGAGATGGTCTACTGGGTGATGGTCTACTGGGTGATGATCAACTGGGCGATGGTCTACTGGGTGATGGTCTACTGGGTGATGGTCAACTGGGCGATGGTCAACTGGGTGATGGTCAAGTGGGAGATGGTCAATTGGGCGCTTGTCAAATGGGCGATGGTCTGCAGGAAGGTGACGTGCTGAAGGATGATATAGTGGATGATGATATGGTGGATGATGATATGGTTGATGATGATGTGGTGGATGATGATGATATTGTGGATGATGATATGGTGGATGATGATATGGTGGATGATATGGTAGATGATGATATGGTGGATGATGATATTGTGGATGATGATATGGTGGATGATGATATGGTGGATGATATGGTGGATGATGATACGGTGGGTTATGATATGGTGGATGATGATATGGTGGGTGATGATACGGTGGGTTATGATATGGTGGATGATATGGTGGATGATGATACGGTGGGTTATGATACGGTGGGTTATGATATGGTGGATGATGATACGGTGGGTTATGATACGGTGGGTTATGATATGGTGGATGATGATACGGTGGGTTATGATACGGTGGATGATGATATGGTGGATGATGATATGGTGGGTTATGATATGGTGGATGATGATACGGTGGGTTATGATATGGTGGATGATGATACGGTGGGTTATGATATGGTGGATGATGATATGGTGGAAGATGATATGGTGGATGATGATATGGTGGATGATGATATGGTGGGTGATGATGTGGTGGATGATGATATGGCGGATGATGATACGGTGGGTTATGATATGGTGGGTGATGATATGGCGGATGATGATATAGTGGATGATGATGTGGATGATGATGTTGTTGTTGATGATTATATGGTTAATGATAAGTTGGGTGTAGCAAGTGTATTGTGGATTTTTACTTCTCATGTATGGTGGTTGTGTTTTAGTATTATTGCTCTGTACGTTTTACCATTTAATTGCAATATATTTTTTCATTACATTTTTTAAAAACACATTCTACATGAAAAATTGTTTTTATCGATAAACAAATATACAGCAGTGCTTCTTGACCAGAAAGAGTTTCTTCCAGGCATCTCTTCGGGGGGGCGTGGGGGGGCAAAGCCCGCCCCCCCCCCCCGGAAAAATTCTACCGCCCCCCCCCCCCCCCCCCCGAACGAAATGAAATTTATATAATTTATATAGAAAATATATACTTTTAACAGTATCCCCCCCCCCCCCCCCCGAAGAAAGACTACCGCCCCCCCCTCCCGAAAATTTCAAGTGCCCCCCCCCCCCCCCCGTAGTAAAAAGTCTGGAAGAAACACTGTTCTTGACTAACTGAGCTTCTGACAATATAGATCTTTCGTGCAAGTTTTCGTAATGGCTCTAGACTAGAGTCTAGATCTACATCATCTCCATAGCTTTTCATTAACGTTTTTTAAGCTTAGCACACACTTGTTTTAAAGTTGTTCAATGTCGCAAATGATTAGAGACCTCATCTCCTGTTCATTTCCCCCTTTTCCTGGTACATAAAGATGTCCCCAGGAATGCCCACGAACTGACAGTGGTGAACTGGGTTGATTCTTTGTCACTTCTTTAAATACGTGCTATCTTTCTTGATGAAGCCATACAGGGGAGTTTACGTTTCCAGTTCCACTTCTGATTGTCAAAAAATAGACTGTGGCAAACTAGAATTTTATTATTACAATTTCAAAGATTCTTGAGATGCTTAAATTAGTAATATTAAATTGTAGTTCAAATTTTGTAATAGAAAATAACATTGATTCAAATAAAACTATATATGGCCTTATATATATATATATATATATATATATATATATATATATATATATATATATATATATATATATATATATATATAGGCCTATATATAGGCCTATTATATAATATATAGGCCTAAGTTAAGTTATATAAGTTAAACATTATTCAACAATCATCACGCTTACATGTTATTATTTTAGCTAAATCTAGGCCTATAGATCTATATCTATTTAAATTTAATAGTTTCTATTTAAATGTAATTTTTAAAAATAAAAGGTAATTAGACTTGATCTAGACTAGACTCTCTAGATCTAGAATCTAGAAATCTAGATTTTGTTCGAAAGCTAGCCTATATTGATTCTATTCTAAATATATAAAGGGCATAGGGGTCAAGGTGTAACCAACATGGCGGCGCCCAGCGAACAACGGTATCTTCCATGCGATGACTTTATGAAATTCCAGGTAAAAATAAGTTTTAAAATAATATAGTATGACCTGTAGTTCTTGATTAGGTTTATTTTCCAAGGGTAAAATCTCAAGGTGCAATATATAGATCTAGAATCTAGTTGTTTTAAATATCTAAAATAAGGCCTCCAAACTTCATCATCAGTTTCATGATCAGTGATCCTGATCACTGATCAGTGACTGACTTCAGAAGTACGAGACAAGACTTCACTATAGAATAAGAATAGATCTAGATTCTAGATCTAGATCTACGACACTAGATTATTTATACGTAAAACTACGTTAAGACAGAAAGCCATGACAACAATCATTCAGCAATGGCAATAATAAAGGGAGTAATTGAAAAATAAATAATAGGCTAGGTTTTCTTATTAAATTATTTAATTAAAATTGTCTGTCACTTATGATACATCATTACAAACTTTATCACTTACTGGTTAATTTGAGACCAAATGTAATGGTCTAGCTTAATTAGGGGCCAAGAAAACAAACAAAAACAAAATGACCAATTAACTTCTTAAAATGCGAAACTCTTTTTCGCCATCAAAAAAGCTCAAAAAGTTACGTTGGTTTGTGTTTTCCATTCGTAGCATGATGTCATAGCAATTACGACAACATTGGGTATTTTAGTTACCAAAAAAAACCTAAACATTTTGTTGGAAATAAAACTTTCTATTCATTATGTTTATTAAAGAAATATCAGACATGTTTATTATAAATTCTATGTAGGCCTATAATGTACAATTTAAGACATTAGGCCTTCCATGATGAATTGAACAATCAATACCCATGAATATGATAATAAAATTAATATCCAAAACTAAAAATAGATCTGACAGAAATCTAGATCTAGGCATTCTAACTGTAAAGACAATACAGTATTAGGTAAGATGATAAATCAACTTTTTTTTTAAACTTTAAAATAAATACTCTATAGGCCTAATTATTTTTCTCTTAGGCGAAGTTTTTTTTTTTTTAATCAGCTATGCGTAGTAAATCTATAGTTCTGTAAGCTTGCATGAACTTAAAATGACCCTAAGTTGTTTTACAATTTGCTTGGTTTATGAGGGGAGGGGTGGGATTGCCCACCGACGATCTCTAACAGCAATCGTTAATGCTGTGACGTATGTATGGTAGGCCTGCTGAACTCACGGTGAACCCTCAACCGTGTCAACATTTTTCTCCCGCAGATGAGAAAATGTAAGCAGTCGATCTCGCGAGCGACGATGTTAGGAAAATCTTGAATAATTATTTTATAAAATATTATTTCGATCAAAAAATATTTTTAAAAAAGAAAGAAAATAAAGCCGCTCGTGGCATTTCCTATGTGAAACAATAAAATAAAGCACAACTGATTTACTTCGGATTCGAACTCGGAGATTCTAGGTCACCTACCGCACCGTTCTGTTTACTCTGCCACACACCACGATGTATTGGAAAATAAAATATTAGACATTTTGTATCAAAAGATTGCTAAAAGGAAATAAATACTACTTTATTTATTAATGATATCGTACTACGTAGTAACTGAATAACTGCGTAAATTTGACACACAATTCCTATATGTTTAACTAACACAACAGCATTAACGAGGTTGACCAAGTCTAAAAATAAAAAAAAATTGCCAGTAGGCCTAATTAGATTTAGCACAAAAAAGGCTCGGAATGTTGCATTGTTTAAAATACAATACTAAAACCTAATTAAAAACTACATATAATTTCATATAAATTATGCAGTCGGGTAGGCCACGAAGTATTTAGATCTAGTATTTACAAGGTTAACGACCGGTCACGAATTATGTTCAATAAAACTAACAGTGCAGTCGGCCTACTTGGCTTGCAGTGAAGTAAAAAAATCAATATACTTATAAAATTACTAATACTAAATACAATAATAATGTCCACAATTTCTACACACGCTACAACTGAATTATAATTAAAATACTAGACTTAACAGTGCATTCCGCAAAAAACAAAAATTAGTTGTTTCTATCTGACAACTAGCGTAACAATGACGTAACGTTACTAAAAATAGCAGAGGCATGGTATTTCTATGGTGAATTGGATTTTGGAAAGGGGAAACATCATCAATGTAATTAATCATGGTAAATATCTCAAATATATATTTATCTAGGATCTGTCGAGCGCTGTTGCCCGGTGGTCGGTCGTTTTTCATTGAAGTTCAGCTTCTCCTGAGAGTGATCAACAAGCAATGCTTGTATTAATTATAACTACATATCTCGCAAATTTTTCTGGCATTTAAGCCATAGTATCCATTTCCTTAGCATTTCGCATTAAAATAATGATGAAATATTGCTAGATTAGCAGTTTTTTCATTTTTGTATATAGGACCCCCCCAAAAACACTTAAAATGCGAAAACCAAAAGAGCATGACGTTTCAGGGTCAGGCTCTGACTTCCGGTTTTGGTATGGAGATTAACTACTAAATTCTAAATTCTAGCACCTTAAAATTAAAAAAAAAACAAATTGAATTCTAAAGTCAGGGAAAATAAAAATGGTATTCTATTGTTTTAGGTACGTAAAATCGCCTGCGACTAGTAATGTGAAAAACAGGTGACTCCTTAAATTTTAATAATTATTTCACATTTTGAGGAGGATTTATGTTTTGAAAAATGCAAAATGTTCCCTTGTTTCATTTATGTACCTGTTTTTAAACAACCGAGTTAAACCTTTTCAGTAATAAATGAAGACTAGCGACGTTTCCAACAGATGAAACCGTGCTCATTTACTATAGCAGCCATCTTTTTTTTTTATTGTAAACTTATAGTGCAAGATTCAGGGGAAGCCACTCTAACTTACAGATGGCCGCTTTTTATATAGCAAATCCTGCTCGCAAACACTGCTGTTTAAAGATAATTTCTTGTCAATATTGATATATTTAGCCATTGATTTAGGTTTATTATTCATTTATCTATAATATTTGACACAAATATATCACAATATATACGTCTATTAAACCTTGACAATGATAGATTACCTAAAAATTGTAGGCCTAAAAATTAAAAATGCCCTTGGCTTGATCATAGATCTAGAAATCTAGACTAGATCTAGAATACGGTAATCTATCGTTTTAGGGGCATAAAATTGGCCGAGGCTAGTAATGTGCGAAAAAGTTGCCTCATTGTTAAGGCTTTAACTTTAGGCTGCATTTGCGCGGTTTGCTACGTGTAAGGTCGCCTATGCGTGGTTCGCTCAGCGTTACGCTTACTATTTACCTTAGGTGGCACGCGATCTAAAAAAAAAAACAGATATCAGGACGATTTTTTTTTCGTGGTAACATGAATTTAATGTTGACAGATCTAGATCGAGTTTAAGTGTATTTATATTATTTCAACACCTAAGAGTCTAGTACTTGTAAAAAAAACAGTACAGTGTAGTGTCAAGGAAAGTTTGTGAGGTCAGATGATAGTCCTAGATCTAGCAGCAATCTAGCTAAATCAAACTGTTCTTTAACCTTTAGGCCTAGCCATCTAGCATGCGTGATAGTAGATCTAAGTCTATATTATTTATCCTATGTGAACTTAAAAAAAAAATTCAATTTGCTTTAGGGAGGAGGGGGTGTGGGAGGAAGAGAGAAGTGAAGACAGACGATCTCGTGAACGTGTGTTCATTCTATGACGTATGCTTTAGGCGTGCTGAACTCACATTGACCTCGCCGACCGTGGGATTTTCCACTCATGAGATAGTAAATGTAAGGCAAGCAAGCAATCACACCAGTAACGATGTTTGGAAATTTATTTTTAAAAATAAAGGATCATACGTCATATTTTCAATATGAAAAAAAATGTTCGAACTCGGAGCTCGGGGTCTATGAACTACAGTCTACAACTGGCACACTGTTGACTCAACCACACCGGATGTGATAGAGAAGTAAAAAGTAAGCATTTTCAATTACAAGATGGCAAATATAACCTGCAAGACGCATAGTCTATTCCTTAGAGTTAGGGGCCACGCTCTGCGAGGCGCGTAGTCACTTCGTTAACTTTAATTATAACTTTAATAGAAGTATAGGCCTATAGGGCCTAGTATTTAGTATATTGTTATATATTTGTGTCAAATATTAGCCTATAGATAGGCCTAACTGAATTATAAGCAAAAATCAATTGTTAAATATATCAATATAGGAAAGAAATTAACTTTAAACAGCAGTGTTTTCGAGCAAGATTTGCTATATAGTTAGAGTCCTGAGCAAGTCTCCCCCCCCCCTCTTCCCCAACGCCATACGAAATGGAAACAAATATACTTCAACCAGCGCCTCCCACCTCTGAATCTCTAACTATAATTTTACAAAAAAAAACTTAAGATGGTTGCTAAAGTAAATGAGCTTGGTTGCATTTGATGAAAACATCTCTAGTCTTTATTTTTACTGAAAAGTTTTAATACAATTGTTTAAAAAAAGGTACATTAATGAAACTTAAACATTTTTGTAACTTTCATAACATAAATCCTCATAAAAAAGTAAAAAAAAATTACTAAAATTAATGAGTCACTTTTTTTTCACATAACTAGTCTTGGCCGATTTTATGTACCTTAAATAATAGATTACCCTAAATCCTATAATTACAACAACGAAGTGACTACTCGGAAAAAGATTTTTTGCTTCAGCGTCTCCATCTGGTCAACAAAAGGCCTGCTCATGCGCAGTGACTTTAATAGCTGGGCTAGGGTTAGGGTCCTGCTGTTTGTTTGTAAACACATGCATTTGCAGTACCATCAAAAACATCATCGAAGGAAAGTCATAGTTTCTCTCCATTGCGCACGCGTATCTTTTTCCAGCTAGAATCGGCCTCACAACAATCAAGTCCAATCCATAGGCTATGGTTTGTATGATGGCCTAGGCCTAACTTAAAAAACTAACCCACCATATCACTGAAAATCAGTCCTATCATCGAAGCCATTAAAAACAAACCCATCTTTTCAAAAATCATTTTCTAGGCTACCTATTAAATTTGATAAGTAAAATTAGTATTAAATTAAAATTAAAGGTAAATAAATGTAGTTTTTTAATTGTTTAAGTCATCTTGAACAATATTGAATTTTAAAATCTTATGCGACACCCTACATTCAGTTTGACAAAAAAACATTAATTAGTTATTAGGCCTAACAACTTTCTGTCTAAATTATCATTTTAACAGTTAAAAAGTTTCTTAGGTCATTCAGCCTTCATCATCATAATAAAAACAGAAGTTCTTTGCCACTGCCATCTTGCTAGATGAACCATTATTTTACCAAAAAACTGTTAGTTTAATTATATATGTATCCTAATATATAAAATCCCATGTGCACGCTTCTCTCTCTGTCCACAACATATGTCCCGGGGCTATGAGATCAGTATCTTCAGCAATATAGGAGAACTTAATGATATAGATTTCTGTTGAAAATAATATGTTGGATGTATTAAATGTATAAACTAAATATCATTTAAATAAGGAAAATAAAAATAAAGGCATATTCGAATGTAGAAATAAATTTTTAATTATGCAACCGGTAAAGTGTTTATGGTTGTGACAAGAATGAAAAAATCAATGACGTCACATGTTTAAACTACGGAAAGTACTCTACACTAATGGCATCATCTTCCAATTTTAGAATATGAATAAAATGAACTATTTAATTCAAATTTGATTTAGACCTATAGATCTACTTTTCAAGACGCACGCTATGCAATGTATACAATTTTCTAGGCCTAAACTAATAAAAATAACTTTAAAAAACAACATGTATACCATTGAACAGCCGGGTTTTTAACAGATTCATTTCTCTTTAACAGTGTGTGCATATGATTTGGTTTTAATTTTTCTAATAGGTATTGGTAGCCTATGTTATTTTTAATGTCAGATTTTTAGCTATTTAGTTCTTTCTTTGCTTTGTCACTAATATGGTTCAACATTTGTTTTGACCAATGACTATTTTAGAAATTATTTTTCTCAAACAAGTAAACATTTAAAATATATAGGCATATCATTCATGTGTAACTGGTACCTATGGCTACTTTAATTATAATAGGCTTAATATGTAATAGATTTTAAAATTTCTAATTTTTTCAAAAAATCCTTTACCTTAATATAATTGATTTTAAACACAACACAATTCTATCTATTTATATAATTCTCTACGTTGCCCAACCATGTGGGACACCACCACGCAAGCTTGCTGACTCTCTAACCCTCCTCCCGCCCCCTCCCGCGCTCCCCAGGCATATAAAACAGTGTGTACCCACCCACCCCATTTGGACAACTGTGTCTTTCAGGAAGTCTTCACCGTCACTAAATAGCAGCATAAGCTACGCCACGGGTCGGCTCGTTACTTTTTATTGCGCAGTTCTTGTGACCAACACTGGTGAATCTAGTTGTTAATTTACTGGATATGTTATTTTTATATGCTGGCAGTTCTGGCTACTTTATCTAACAAACTGCTATAAAATAATTTACGTGATACTTTTATTACACACAGTGAAAGTAAATGTTATCAAACCAACTGTGTATTTTCTAGAATTTTAGATATCCTCATGTAGAAAATAATCTGTTTTCTTATAGCCTACATTTGGGACAAGTTGAGAGACTCTGAAATTGGTAGTTTCTACGTCTAATTCAAGAAAATTAATAAAAAAAAATGAAAAAGAAAGTTTCCAAGAACCATTATTTAATTTCTTGACATTATGAATCTAGAGGAGTCTTTACTCATCTTATTAGCCTAATTTAAGTCATTATTAGAGACCAGAGTCTACTTTCTAATACTAATGACCAATAAATAAATTAGGCTGCTAACAATAGAGGTCTAATTATGCATCTTTCAAACTAGATCTTCATTTCATTTATCGCAGGCAAATTTAAAATGTTTCCCTGGAAAATTCACATTACTATATATGGCATTTAAATATGCCAGGTGTCGTGTGGAAAATATTTTTATTACAGATGATCACTAGAACTATAAAATATCATCATATTGCATGCGTTGTTTAGTCCACCTCATTGTTGTTAGCAGCTGACTAGATCCACCTTATAGTTAGAATCACTATAACATTATTATTAATATTAAATGTCATTTTTGTTATGATTGTCTTTTTTTATATAACCACAAATAGGATGCATTAAAAAAGCTCCGGCTTATAGATGACAGAATCATACATGCCCTAAACACATCACTTCCTACACAATCTTTCAGAGACAAAGTAAATGTCTCCACAGAATGTAAACGCTTGTATGAAGAGGTAAGTAAACCTTTATATTTGTTGGTTTGTTTAATACACTGATTAGCAGTGACACATATGGCTCTTTCAAAAAATATGTGAGGCTTTTTTTTTTCATTTTTAATTTTTTACATATTTTATCATTTGCTCATTTATAGAGTGTGTTATTGAAAATCAGCTCTACATTCTAATGTTTGCCCATTTAACTGATTTAAAAGGCATGTGTAAATAATCGTTTAAAATAAAAGGTTTGCTGTTTTTGATGGAGAAAAAATATTTAAAAAAAAAAATTGATAGTGATAATTTGTTTTAAAAGCAATCAGTAAATTGTAAGAATACAGTAAAGCAGTTTAGTTTCTTAAGTTAAACATTAATTATAACATTACTGGCATTGATAATTTTGTTCATAATCAATGATATTGTTTTCATTTATTTTTGTAATGTAGCTTAAGAAGATAATCTAATTTCAATGCTCTCTCCAAACAGCTTTTGTGTGTTGTTCTGTGATTTAACCTGCTTTAATATTTTTATCATTTATTTACAATATTGTAATAAAGATAGTCTGGTCTACAGTTTACACATTTTAAAATTAAGACAATGTAGTTTTCAGAGCCACAAAAATTAAATTGTCTGCTGGAAATTGTTGCAGTCATAAAATAATAAGAGGTCTGAAAATGGTATTTGTATTTAAAAACTACTTTTTGTTTGTATTTTGTACAGATGCAGGTATCATATGACCAGCGGGACCAATCAATCCGCCATTGTATTGAGTTAGTTACAGATGATGTGAAAAAACTGAGGCAGAAGAAACTGGATGCACCTGATGATGTTGAAATCTTGAGATCATTAAGGAAGGAACAAACTAAAGTATGTTGTACAGAAGTTTTATAGCTAGGCTGTTGCTATTCTATGATATTTTTTCTTTAAAGTTGAACATTTTTGTTTAGCCAAAATATTATTCTAAAATCTTTTATCCTTAGTGTTAAGAAAAGTAGCCTTGTGGTTAAGAGATCAATTTTTTTTTAATTAACAATTATTTTTGTTTATTAAAATATTGAAACATTTGCATAAAAATTTTGTTCTGCTTTTATAATAAAAGGAGTAATTTATGCAAAACAATTTCAGTTGAAGCTAATGCAGCAAGAAATGAGTATAGAGGAAGTAGTGAAAGATAGGACTCTGAAGGTGGGTGTCATTTTGTTTACAAAGTTACATCTTCTAAAAGTTATAGATTATCTTTAAATATACTCAGTTAAGAAACTTTATATAAACATAGTGATTAGGCTTTGAGTTATTGAACTGAACTTGATAACTGTTGAGACTTGTGTAAAAAGTTGTCCCCCTGTGTTGCAGGTATTCTATGAAAGATGTCGAGACAGCTACACGCCACCGGCGGCTCCTATAGTCTTGTAACCATCAGCCAACATTAGACCAGCATTGTCGCATAAAGAATGATTTTTTAATTAAAATGTAACTTTTACACTGCTGTATTGAATGCTTGTTCCTAACATTGTTCTTGTAGAATGTCTTCATATAGTATACCCACAATTTTTAGGAAAATTAACACTATTTATATTATTATTTGGATAACAAAAAAAATTGTTTAAATCCTTCTGAGGTACACATGACTATATTTAAAAATTCTCTTGAACTTGAAGGCAGAAAAATTTACAGAAGGTTATATAAAAGTGAAAAGAAATATAATGAACATGAAAACATTAAATCGCTGATAAAGTAGATATATGTAGTTGATTTCCTCAGTAGATAACTCATGTTCTACACAAACAACAGAAACAGCAAGTATTGTTACATGTTTTTTCTGAGCTGGTTGCTCCTGATTGCATTAGTTACAAGATTGTGTTCACTGATTGTGATACTTCATAGTGTCCTACGTTGTGTCATGTAGGCTAGTTATTTCATAGTTGATTACATAGTGTATCTTGTAAAATAGATTGATTTATTGTTAGGATACCTCAGTAGATGAGAAATACATTTTCATGAGACAGACCTACGATAGTGAGTAGATTTTAAAAGTGTGAAAGTTCAGAAATTATTCTTTCTTTCCCAAACTGTTTTTGTATTCCTTGAGAACTAGCTCTAAAAAAATGAGGCCATCTTAAAAAATTTAATGTATATAATTTTCTCTTAAAAAACAATTTTCTCCAACAACAGAAAAAAAAATTAATGCCATGTTGCCTTAGTAGTACATGATTGATTTTTTATCTATGTGATCTGTAAAAGAAATTTTTTAAAAATTAAACTAGATGATTTTAATAATTATTTTTCTTGTATATAAATCAACTAAAAACTATTTTAAACTTGCAAACTAATCCATCAACTGTCCAAAAAACAGTTTCTCCCATCAAACTTTTTTGTTGTTCATCTAGTGTTGGATGGCTTGTCATTGGCTGTAATACTTTTGTAGGGTATTAAAATGTTAACATGTTAATAAAATTTACTTCTCTAAACATTCTATTTTTTAACATTGAGTTTAAATTTAGTACTATTTTGTAAACATTTTCAAGAGTCCACATCAATTTTAAGTAGCTTCATTGATTGAGACCTTTTCTATATCAATATGTAGATTGGTAATTTTTTATACAAAGAATATTATCTGGAGGTCATATCAAATGTTGCCCATCTAAATTATTATAAGAAATAGTCTTTACAATCTGCAATTTTGTTCTCATAAGGTCTATTTGACTAAGATAAAAATCTCTATAACTAAAATATACACTAAAAATATTTAACAAAAATTCCTCTCGCAGAATGTTTAGATTTTTAAAAAATAATTTAAGATGGGAGGCTACTCAATATTGAACCCTGGGAATATCCAGTTATCTTTCTTCAATACCCCGCTGACTAGAGCACTTTTTAGTTTATTCTTATCTAAAAATTTCATCTTTGCTGACCGAAATATGTCCACGACGAAAATAAAAATAATAAACACGGAAATTCTTTCTAATATTAAAATACTACCCAAAAAAGTTTTTTTTTTTTTTTACAATAAAATATCCTTGCCACAGATAAATGGGGTGGAGGTGAAATCCCCAGGTATGTGTTTGTGTGTCGTTCTGTAGTAGTACAACTGATCTAATGTCAACTCACCTTGGTGGTGTAAACTGCAGGTAGGATTGTCTTGGATGTGCAAGTTACATGTGTGGTGTAAGCTACAGGTATGATTGTTTTGGATATGCGTTACAGGTAGGATTGTTTTTAGTTTTGGTGATGTAGGCTGCAAGTGTGATCATACTGTTTGTGTAAGTTACAGGTATGATTGTCTTGATGGTGTAAGTTACAGGTATGATTGTCTTGGTGTAAGTTACAGGTATGATTGTCTTGATGGTGTAAGTTACAGGTATGATTGTCTTGGTGTAAGTTACAGGTATGATTGTCTTGATGGTGTAAGTTGTAGGTATGATTGTCTTGATGGTGTAAGTTACAGGTATGATTGTCTTGATGGTGTAAGTTACAGGTATGATTGTCTTGGTGGTGTAAGTTACAGGTATGATTGTCTTGATGGTGTAAGTTACAGGTAAGATTGTCTTGATGGTGTAAGTTACAGGTATGATTGTCTTGATGGTGTAAGTTACAGGTATGATTGTCTTGATGGTGTAAGTTACAGGTATGATATTCTTGATTGTGTAAGTTACGGGTATGATTGTCTTGATGGTGTAAGTTACAGGTATGATTGTCTTGATGGTGTAAGTTACAGGTATGATTGTCTTGATGGTGTAAGTTACAGGTATGATTGTCTTGATTGTGTAAGTTACAGGTATGATTGTCTTGATGGTGTAAGTTGCAGGTATGATTGTCTTGATGGTGTAAGTTACAGGTATGATTGTCTTGATGGTGTAAGTTACAGGTATGATTGTCTTGATGGTGTAAGTTGTAGGTATGATTGTCTTGATGGTGTAAGTTACAGGTATGATTGTCTTGATGGTGTAAGTTACAGATATGATTGTCTTGGTGGTGTAAGTTACAGGTATGATTGTCTTGATGGTGTAAGTTACAGGTATGATTTTCTTGATTGTGTAAGTTACAGGTATGATTGTCTTGATTGTGTAAGTTACAGGTATGATTGTCTTGATGGTGTAAGTTACAGGTATGATTGTCTTGATGGTGTAAGTTACAGGTATGATTGTCTTGAATAGTGTAAGTTATAGGTATGATTGTCTTAGTGAAATCCTGAGCAAATCTCCCCCCCCCCCCTCTTCCCCAACGCCATACGAAATGGAAACAAAAATACTTCAACCACTCCCTCCCCCCTCTGGAATTTTTTTGTGTGCACACCCCTAGCTGGTAGTTCAAATGCCCCTCCCGGAGAAAATTATCTGAAAGAAACCCTGGGTACAATCATTCGATTCATAGACAAAGATCCCCACACAGCCAGAAGTTTTACTCGCCAAATATCCCACACACTTCAACGTCCCACACGTACAATAAAGTCCTACACATTAAACTTCTCACATGAAGCACGTATGGAACTTCCTACACATAGGACTACAACACGATTATCTTCCCACTTACTAATATAAACGACAAATCAGATCACACACGCAACGTCCCACACACTACTCTACCCCCACATTTATCTCCCCCCCCCCCCCCACCCACACAACTGTTTACACACCATTGACCTATAATCTTCCCCACAATACCCGTGCTGATGCGCAGTTAACAAAACTGGGTGCGTTCAAGGCCGTAGGTGAGCGCTTGTATCCTCGTGCCTCACCTTCTGCCTCTAGTAAATCACTTTCAGGTAAATCACTTTTTCACGTCTTCATCCCCCTTCACTTTTTATTTACATCTTTAGAGAATCGGTGCAACACCAATCCCATAAATCATTTAAAGGCTGGTTTTGTTTTAAGTGATGCAACGTTTCCCATTTCTTCCCACACAGCTTAATTTTCAAATCCATAAATCAACACACAAAAACACCAGATTTAAAAAAAAAACATCGTATTTTGTTTTCTAAATCTAAAAATTGTTAACTTTTTGTACCTAAATTATTCTGGTCAAAAGTGTCAGTCGTACAGGGGAATTTGGTAAACCGCATTTTCACATTTTTGTCTTATTGTTTTCTAGTTATATTATATTAATAAAATCTTATTTGATTCCTAATCAAGGATATCCCCAACAGATATTCTTTTAGGCATCTCTTTGAGAAACGATTGCCCCCCCCCCCCAATTGACCTCCCACCCCGGACGAAATAGAAAAAAAAATACATTTAATAAAGAAAATAAAAATAAATATTATGGCCATATGACCATGTGGCCCTCGTACCCCCCCCCCCCCCCCCCCCCGTAGGTTTCAAGTGCCATACCTTCACCTCACCCTACCACGGGGAGAAATTTAAAAAAAAAACACCTCCCCCCCCACACACACACACACTTTAAAAAAATCTATAACCATTATTTATTACATACAATTGTTTTCGGCACCAAACTGGTACTTTTTTCTAATGGGTTTGATCAGGATACACGTCACTTCCGCTAAACATCAACAAAAAAAAAGCAGCCGTCAACCTGATTTCAACAGTGACCATGGATGTGAACAGGTGCACTAGCTAGTGAAAACATCTTGAACAGGTTTCTGGAAGATCAGGTGATTCGGTGTCGTGGCATTCTTAAACAACTCCAGGCTTGGGTTCGTTCAGTGCGTCAAACTTTATTGTACTTTCAAACAGTTTTGTCTTAACTTTTTCAAAAGGATCTGTACCTAAAGGTGCAGACATGAGAACAAACTCCATTATTTGACAGGAAGGAGCCATATTTAAAAACCACCCAATTTTTTAAGAACACCCTACTTTTTGTAATATGCTACGCTAGTTCAGGGTGTAGGCAAACATTAGGCACTAAGGGGAGTAACTGCAACCGTTCTAACACTATTACCTCCCCTCTCACTCAGCTACCTCCCTTAGCTTGACGGGTTTGAACAGTCTGCACCCGTCGTCATCTTTAACTGTGACTGCTATTGAACCCAAATTTAAACAAGCCCCCCCCCCCCCTCAATTCAAAGCTAAAGGCTAGCCCTTGAATAACGTGACCTTTATTTACAGCGCCCCCCCCCCCCTTTCCATCTGTCCATCGATCTAGCCAAGCTAGAAGAACGGTGCTGAGTTGTAGCGTGTACGTAAACACATTTTGTTTTGTCTAGAGAGGTGCACCTCTAACCTTACACCCAGCCATCATAAACCTTGCCAAGCGATGTAAATATTATATGTGTGTTTATATATATATATATATATATATATATATATATATATATATATATATATATATATATACAGATATACTCTTAAATATATAACTGCATCTTTTGTTAGGATGATGATGGAATGATGGTCATTGCGCATTGTGGTAATAATTAGTATTGCATTGAGAGAAAAGACACATTATATATATATATATATATATATATATATATATATATATATATATATATATATATATATATATATATATATATATATATATAATATATATATATATATATATATATATATATATATATATATATATATATATATATTGTGTATAGCGGAAAAATCGGTTCGTGGGATGACGAATAAAGCCTGTGATTTAGTAGAGAAATGATAATAACATTAGTGTAATGGGTAAGAAAATGTTGGTGATGATAAAAATCATTTAAAGTTGAGTACTGCTGCTTCGACTTCAGATGATGATGAACAGAGATGTATTTTGAAAAGTTTACAGTTTAACGTATGTATTTTTTTACATACCCCACATTATATAACACTTTTAAGGACCACCCCCTTCTCCCGCCCCACACATTATATAACATTTCTGTGGGCTACAACCCCGCATTCTATGTATCGCAACCCACCTCACACACACACATTATATAACATTTATATGGACCCCCACCCCACATTATAAAACATGTATATGCAGTGGCGTAGCGACCATTCCCGGGGACGAACTTTCAAATTTTCGATTTGCACCCCCCCCCCTTCAAACTTTCGATTTGCACCCCCCTCTCAAGTTTTTCTCTATATATTTTGCTATTTTTTGCCTTGGTGTCACCTCCTAAATGGTGTCACCCGGTGCGTTCCGCACCCCAGCCCCCCCCCCCCCCTCGCTACGCCCCTGTGTATATGTATAGTACGCCCCCCCCCTCTATAGAACAATGATCTACACAATTTTCTCATTCAATACATGTTACTAGCGCCTAATGCTGCTCACACACAAATGTTTCAATACCCACTCTATATCTACTGCTGCACTTCCAGCTATGTGGCATTAAACAGGAACCAAGTAGCCGAATTATTTTTAATTAATAATGTTATACTGACCCCTCTCCCCCACCCCCTATCTATCCCATAGAACACGTTATTGCAAAATTATAAACTATCGTTCCAATCCCGACATATTTATATTTTATTTTAACCATTAGTTTAATATTGCAACCATACTCAGATAAAATCTATGATAAAAATTCCAGATCAAATGAGAACACTTTTTAAAAAAAACATGTCTCTACAGGTATAACATGCTCCAATACGTTTGATAGTTTCAAGATTTTAAAATCGAAACAAGACAGGGAGATAACTCTATCACTTCCCCTTACACGCTATCACTTTCTTATGTCATCTTGACTGTGTAGAGATTAAAGCAATCTATAAATAAAAGTTAAAGAGAACATTCCAACATCTGGTGAGATTATTTTTTTTTTCCAAGATAAACTTTGTGAAGCTGTGCATGTTATCACATAGTTTACTCAGTGATATGTCCAGAAGCACAACTTCACATAGATGTGTAGGTAACCATACACAGTCGCACACCCTCTGTCATTAGGAGTGTGATGTGTTCAATTGTAAACAAACACACACACTATCTGACACACGGAGTTATTGTGTTCAGTTGTAAACAATCACACATTCTCCCTGACTCATACAGTTAGATGTGTTCATTTGCAAACAAACACACGCACTCTCTGACAAATAGCGTGAAATGTGTTCAGTTGCAAACAAATTCTCTCTGAAAATCCCTCATGCAATAACTAACACTGGTATTATACATCTGTTACTGAGCTATTCAACACTAAACATGTATTGATCCATTCATCTGCAGCTCTGCTGTGTTAGCAATATAATATGACTCAAGCAAAATCTTGCTGTTTGTTTACTTTAATATGTTTTAAAATGAGGAGCTTTTTATATCAAAATTTCTTGAACGGTTTTGAACACTGCTTTTCAGTGTTTCTTCCAGACTTTTTTCTCCGGGGGGGGGGGGGGCACTTGAAACTTTCGGGGGGGAGGGGGGGCGGTAGATTTTCTTCGGGGGGGGGGGCGGACACTGTTAAAAGTATATATATTCTATATAAATTATATAAATTTCATTTCGTTCGGGGGGGGGGGGCGGTAAAAAATTTTCGGGGGGGGGGGGGGGCGATGCCCCCCCCCCCCCCACCGAAGAGATGCCTGGAAGAAACTCTGCTGCTTTTAACTTACTACACAGACTGTGGCGTAGGCAGAGGATTGTGTTCTGGGGTGGGGTGATGGTGAGAGAGGAAGATGTATTCCCCTTTCCCACAATTGGCCCTTAAAGTAGCTGCTTTATTACTGTAAGTTACAGAAATTAATGCAGTCAAAAATCTTATATGTAATATATATATATATATATATATATATATATATATATATATATATATATATATATATGTGTGTGTTATGTGTGTATATGTGCGTGTAAACACACATAAACAAAGTCACATAAACAACTGCTTCCCTCATGGCTGACTGATGATACTCCCAGCCTTTCAATTTTCATCAGCAGCTAAAAAAAAACTATTAGAAAAAACGTATTTATCTCTCTTTTCGTTTGGACAGCCCAGCACTGCAAACAATTCCAGCGGTTGTTCTCACACGAGCGAGTGCCCGTCGCTACTGCTGTACAAGCCCGCCTTAACGACTTCTCAAAATACATCAACGTTGAAGGGAAGAATTTCACACGGGCTGGAGAACTCTCCACTGGTGAAGATTTTAAAGTTTTAAGAGCTCACAAACTTAAGGACTGACACGAGTTCTCTTCCCTGCAAAATATATCGTGTTTTTTTTTTTGTTTATGCGGTCGTAAAATTATTTTATTAAAATGATTAAGAGCTGATTTATGATCAACATTTGCGTCTTACGTTCACACATTGCCGCCATAACAATCACGAAAAAATATTAATGAAAGCAGGATTAACACATCCGGTACCCTGTTTATTTCCTCTACTACTCAGCTTTTGTGATACACTTAATTCGAACGATAATCTATTTTTAGTGCTAATAGAAAGGAAAAACTGATATAGCTGACGCCAGTATCACGTGATGTAACTGACGCCAGTATCACGTGATGTAGCTGACGCCAGTATCACGACGTGATGTAGCTGACGCCAGTAACACGTGATGTAGCTGACGCCAGTATCACGTGATGTAGCTGACGCCAGTATCACGTGATGTAGCTGACGCCAGTTTCACGTGATGTAGCTGACGCCAGTATTACGTGATGTAGCTGACGCCAGTATCACGTGATGTAGCTGACGCCAGTAGCACGTGATGTAGCTGACGCCAGTAGCTGACGCCAGTATCACGTGATGTAGCTGACGCGAGTATCACATGATGTAGCTGACGCCAGTATCACGTGATGTAGCTGACGCGAGTATCACATGATGTAGCTGACGCCAGTATCACGTGATGTAGCTGACGCGAGTATTACGTGATGTAGCTGACGCCAGTAGCTGACTCCAATAACACGTGATGTAGCTGACGCCAGTACCACAGACTGCGTTATGGTAGAGCCGTGGTTCTTGTTTTGAAATAAATCTTTTGGTAGAGCCGTGGTTCTCGCCTCACCTTAGAATTCCAGCCTGGCCCCTGTACCAGGAAGACACGAGCACACACCGCGCCAGGCTAGGTGAGCATCACGTGACACAGTGTCGGGGAGGGCGGGGAGCGGAGGAACTATTTTTTTCCCAAAAGGTGGCCTCCGTCGGGTTGGTAGGCCAGAGACTAAACACAAGTCCAACCGTGCACAAGGGGCGCTACTCCACTTCCGCGCTTTTTCTCTCAGTGAATTACGGTACTTGAATCTTGACTCGCGTCTAGATCTGTAAGAGACAGACGGGACTATTGCATGTGAGTACCTGACTCCTTACACACAGGTTTTGTTTACACTTACATGTACACAAATAAATATAAGTCTTACAGCCTTATACCCACCTTCGTGTGATAATATGCTCGAGGCTTAACATGGATGTGGTGGTATTTAAAAAATTTAGAGTACAAATTGGTGAAATGTAAACAATGTTAGGTGTAGTATGGTGGTGTGGGTAACATATAAATGTAAATAAATAAAAAAACGAGACAGCTGAATGGGAATATAATATGTTTAAATTATAAAGTGATGAGTTAATTTAACTTTTGTGTTAATGTTATGTGAATAGTTTAAATTGTGTGAATGTTTTTGTTTAGTATAGTCCATAGCAGAGGCGTAGCGAGGGGGGGGGCGCCGACCTTACCATAGGGGGGCGCCAAATTGAAAGTTTGAGGGGGGGGTGCAAATGAAAAGTTCGAGGGGGGGGTGCAAATCGAAAGTTTGAGGGGGGGGTGCAAATGAAAAGTTCGAGGGGGGGGGCGCAAATCGAAAGTTTGTCCCCGGGCGCCGGGAGGGGTCGCTACGCCTCTGGTCCATAGTATGTCAAAAGTATGTCTACCGTTTAAGTTGATAGTTTATGGTATGTGAATAGTTTTTGTGGTATGCACCGTTTAAAGTTATGTTTGTAAATAATTTATGAAGTGTGAATAGTTTATGTTATGTGTACCGTTGAAGTGTGTGAATAGTCTATGTTATGTGAATAGTTTATGTTATTAGAACAGTTTATATTGTATAAACACTTGCACCATTGACCGCCATCCATGCACTGTGTACCCCAGGCACCACCATACGATTGTTCTGCTTGCACGTTTCATGTGGTCGCATTTATTCTGTGACCCAACAACGAATGGTTGCGTGATGCTGATAGCCCCACTTGGCAATACACGACTAGAACCATTACGCAACCTGCCAGATCATCGCAGCAAAAGCTGGCCAAAAATTTGAGGGGGAAGTTGGGTTTTTTATTTCCAGCATAGCACAACAAACCGTGGAACAATGAGGAATTCTAAACTCTGGTTCTATACTGGGATCTAACAGACCACCTCAGTGCTCAATTTGGCACAAGCTGATAGGCTGATGTAATGACTGACGTCCCACTACTGATGTAATGACTGACGCCCCACTGCTGATGTAATGACTGACGCCCCACTGCTGATGTAATGACTGACGCAGCACTGCTGATGTAATGACTGACGCCCCACTGCTGATGCAATGACTGACGCCCCATTGCTGATGTAATGACTGACGCCCCACTGCTGATGCAATGACTGACGCCCCACTGCTGATGTAATGACTGACGCCCCATTACTGATGTAATGACTGACGCCCCATTACTGATGGAATGACTGACTCTCACTTCATTTCTTGGAGTGGGCGCACCATTAACAAAGACAGGAATACCTTTCTAAATGAGCTGTGTCGTCACTAGCCATTCGATCACTAATTATATAAAATAATTAAATAATTAAGTAAATGTATTCTTATTAATGGTGAAAAAAAATCATCACTCCATAGTTGTGAAACGATTTTCCAACAACATTAATGAACAGAACATAACCTCATCTATAGCCTTCCGATCCGTGTTCCTTCCAGACTTTTTTCTACGGGGGGAACTTGAAATTTACGGGCTGCTTCCCAACCCCCACGGCCGTAATAACTTTTATAACCTCCCCTACCATTCCCTTCTAAAATCTTGTATGCCATCCCTTACATACACTCTAGTTTTCGAGTACAGCCTCCCCTACACACCCCCAGATAATTTTTATGACCTCTCCCTCCCCATTTCTTAAATTCGTCACACAATTTTTCCTGTACTGGAAATCAACCAGGAACGTTGAGAAAGTTATTATAAAAGGTAACATATAGTACATTTTAAACTGCTAATGAACATAATCATCACGGAAATGACTATCATAAAACCCTATTTGCATATTTTGTATTAACTTTCCACTCGTTAAAAAGTAAATTTTTAATACATGTTTACAATTACAATACGATAGTATTACATTAACGATTAAACCGAAAGTCAACATTTAAATTTTAAAAATAATGTTCTTAGACAAAAATATTTTTTTACCAGTTGATCATCATAGCAGAGTATAGTCCCTCAGTCTCACTTGTATATTTGACAAAATATTCAGTGGTCAAATTTTCATAAAGATAAAATACACACACATAAACTGAGCTATACAAATCCTGATACACGGGCATTATAAATCGACACACAACCACATATTGCTAAAGCAAAATAAAATCTGGTTGGAGGTAAAAATAGAACATGATTTCATTTTACGACCCCCCCCCTCCCTCACCCCATTCGTTCTTCATTTGTAAAATCAAAACATTTTTTTTTCTCACGCATATCCTAACTTAGACTGCACGTGCTTGTGGATATAAATAGAACGTGCCGTGTTCACGTGCAGGTTATGTCCGTTGTTTGTTGCTCTAAACGTTATCAAGGATTGCTCAGTTGTCTGCCCATGATATTCAGTCAAGCTCTAGAGTTGCATGCTCATGGTATTCAGTCATATGTAGAGTTATCTGCCCATTGTACTCAGATATTATAGAGTTATCTGCCCATTGTACTCAGATATTATAGTTATCTGCCCATTGTACTCAGATATTATAGTTATCTGCCCATTGTACTCAGATATTATAGAGTTATCTGCCCATCGTACTCAGATATATTTTTGTTATTTGATCATGGTACCCATAAAGTGTAGAGTTATCTGCCCATGATTCTAAGAAATTATAGAGTTATCTGCCCATGATTCTAAGAAATTATAGAGTTATCTGACCATGATAGAAATTATAGTTATCTAACCATGGTACTCAGAAATCATAGAGTTATCTGCCCGTGATACTCAGAAATTATAGAGTTATCTGCCCGTGGTATTTAATCAAATTGTAGAGTTGTCTGCTCATAGAACTCAAATTGTAGAGCGTAGAACGCGCATGTAACCAATGGGTGGTTATAAATAGGCTCCACGTGATCGCACCGTTTGACGTTACTTTATCCAACAGTTTTGTGCAGCCGTGACGTCATGCTCGAATATGACGTCACGACTCGATTTGCTGGTGGAGATGCTTTGACACGTCTGACCACGTGACCTCACGTGCCTTGAATGTCTCGCGCGAGACAATGGACTAATGACCTCTGCATAAACATGGGATGGAATAGATCCAAATAGCCGGCTCCTAATAGCCAACTCCGAAAAGCCAATGGATAATGCCGTTATGCTTGTTCGACAGGGTGTTGGCAGAACTTTGATGTAGTGGGTGGGATGGTGTTGGGTGACACATTGATGTAGATGTGGGTAGGTGATACAGATACACTAAGATAGGGGTTGGTGGGGTTGCGGGTAGATAAATTGCAGATACCGGTGTGCAGTTACATCAGATGACCTTGTGAAGAGCCATAACAGTTGACGTAATGATGTGACAGATGGCTTATAGATGAGGTTATGTTCAGTTCGTCAGATGATGTTATGATGTGAGACTTGAGATGACGTATAGATGTGCTACGTCAGATGATGTTATGATGTGAGACTTGAGATGACGTATAGATGTGCTACGTCAGATGATGTTATGATGTGAGACTTGAGATGACGTATAGATGTGGTACATCAGATGATGTTATGATGTGAGACATAAGATGACGTATAGATGTAGTACATCAGATGATGTTATGATGTGAGAAATAAGATGACGTATAGATGTAGTACATCAGATGATGTTATGATGTGAGACATCAGATGATGTTATGATGTGAGACATAAGATGACGTATAGATGTAGTACATCAGATGATGTTATGATGTGAGACATCAGATGATGTTATGATGTGAGACTTGAGATGATGTTATGATGTGAGACATAAGATGACGTATAGATGTAGTACATCAGATGATGTTATGATGTGAGACATAAGATGACGTTTAGATGTGGTACATCACATGATGTTATGATGTGAGACATGAGATGACGTATAGATGTGGTAAGTCAGATGATGTTATGATGTGAGACTTGAGATGACGTATAGATGTGGTACATCAGATGATGATGTTATGATGTGAGACATAAGATGACGTATAGATGTGGTACATCAGATGATGTTATGATGTGAGACTTGAGATGACGTAGTGTTGTTGCAGACTATGAGCCGCTGACCTCTGAATCAGACACCTGCTCATTTGTTTGACCTCTGACCTAGATGGATGCCCCAGCTCACGGTGCCTGCTCTAGGGCTGGCACGAGAAAATAACATGTTGTCTTGTGTGAAATGTTGACATGTTGTCTTGTGTGAAATGTTGACATGTTGTCTTGTGTGAAATGTAGACATGTTGTCTTGTGTGAAATGTAGACATGTTGTCTTGTGTGAAATGGCGTCATGTAGACATGTTGTCTTGTGTGAAATGGCGTCATGTTGTCTTGTGTGAAATGTAGACATGTTGTCTTGTGTGAAATGTAGACATGTTGTCTTGTGTGAAATGGCGTCATGTAGACATGTTGTCTTGTGTGAAATGTAGACATGTTGTCTTGTGTGAAATGTAGACATGTTGTCTTGTGTGAAATGTAGACATGTTGTCTTGTGTGAAATGTAGACATGTTGTCTTGTGTGAAATGGCGTCATGTAGACATGTTGTCTTGTGTGAAATGGCGTCATGTAGACATGTTGTCTTGTGTGAAATGGCGTCATGTAGACATGTTGTCTTGTGTGAAATGTAGACATGTTGTCTTGTGTGAAATGGCGTCATGTAGACATGTTGTCTTGTGTGAAATGTTGACATGTTGTCTTGTGTGAAATGGCGTCATGTAGACATGTTGTCTTGTGTGAAATGGAGTCATGTAGACATGTTGTCTTGTGTGAAATGGCGTCATGTAGACATGTTGTCTTGTGTGAAATGTAGACATGTTGTCTTGTGTGAAATGGCGTCATGTAGACATGTTGTCTTGTGTGAAATGTTGACATGTTGTCTTGT